TTGTCCAAGGGAATTGCTGCGACCTCTGGGGACAACGACCTGTTCCCAATTTACTCCTCCTTAGTCACCTTTACGGTTCATGGGGTTAATATCATCCATCCGAGTAAAAGCTTTTGGGGATACAGGAGACTTCAGCAGCTCTGGAATACTGTAGCATCTCCTTAGCAATAACCTCTCTCCCAAGCACATTGCATCTTGATTCCCAGCACGTCTAAGATCTCCATCTTAATGTCTGACAAAATCCCTGCAGGTTTTGCCATCCGCTCACGGGATGCGATGCAGCAGTTTGTATCCCTTAACACCGAAAAAGCCAAAACAGCCTCATTTTTGTCACTACTCTCCCCACTCCAACATTTCATTCACTTCTTTCTCTGTCACCTCCTGCCCAGCACCCACGTGCGCATTGGTCACATCTTCCGCTCCGACCTGGCTGCAGCTCCCGACTCCGAGGGGATCCTGGCCGGAGCAGGGCCAGCTGCAGGGCTGCAGTGTCACTGCAGGGAGCTTCAGCCGCGCTGGTGCCGGTGACAAACACCCGCTGGTGCCAGTGACAAACACCCGTGCAACGGCCAGGCCTTGGCAGGACGCCAAGGCAGCCTCCTCCTTCGTTAGCACTTTTAATAGGTTCTTGCAATGGAGTTTTCTTTCCATTAGCCAAACCTATTAAAAAATAAGCTCAAAACTGAACAGGAAAGTAAAAGCTATACTGACTTATCGTTCTTGTTCCAACATGTGACAAAATGTTCAGGGAGGACAAAGCTAAGTTCCCTGTGCTTAATTCACCCTACTTTGTGCAGCCTCTCTTACAGCATCAGACTTTACCTCCCACTGCTTTTGCTGGCAGTTCTGCTGGTTAAGGGTTGGCCAATTGGGAGACCCGTTTGCAAAGTCAACAGGTACAACATTGTTCCCTGCAAACCTCTCCAGAGCAGAGCCTGCACCTCCTGGCTTCATTAGAGCAGTCCTGGTTTCAAATGCAAGGTCCTGCAATGCACAAAACGTAAGGGAAAACCTATAAAAGGCAACAGATGGTGCAAACTGTTACGCTGCGGTGGAGAACGAGCTAAGGAATCAAAACTCCTCTGGTTCCCCACACGGTGCAGCACATGACACACGCCAGATTGTGCTAGATAGAAGCACAAACAACCTGTGATTCTTTCTACAAGGTGCCATGGGGAAAGCAAAACTTTTCTAGGGTGAGGCCCCAGAAAACCAGCTTTGCCCATGGGACTGGGGCATCCAAACGCAGTACTCGCTCAGAGCAGGTGTCAGGGGAACCCAGAGCTGCACGACACGCACGTCCCCAGCACGAGGCAGGAAACGAGAGAACCACCCCGTGAATCCGCAGCAGGGCCACGTTGTCACGGCACACGCTGCGCTGAGCGCAGGGGCGTTCGAGCACCATGAGATGCAGGCTCATGGGATCACAGAATCATAGAACCACAGACTCCTTGAGGTTGGAAAGGACCTCTAGGGATCATCCAGTCCAACCCCTGCACACGCAGGGTCACCTAGAGCACGTGGCACAGGGCTGCGTCCAAGCGGGTTTGAAGATCTCCAGAGAAGGAGACTCCACAACCTCTCTGGGCAGCCTGTTCCAGTGCTCTGGCACCCTCTGTTAAGAAACTTTTCCTTAAGTTCCTGTGGAACTTTTGGTGTTTCAGTTTTCGGACATTTCCTCTAGTTCTGTCGGTGGCCACCACTGAAAAGAGACCAGCACCATCCTCCTCACTGCCTCCCTTGAGGTACTTGTAGGCACTGATAGGTCCCCTCTCAGCCTTCTCTTCTCCAGACTGAACCGGCCCTGGACGCTGTGAAAGGCTTCTCCTTGCCTTTCGGAAGCAGCTACGTGTCCCCTGCAACAGCAAGGCCTGGCAGTCCATACATCTGCGTGGAAACAGGCAAGGAGACCAACCTTCAAGTTCTGGTCGGCCACAAAGTGCAGCCAAATGTGCACGTTATTAATGGCTCCATCTGCACTTTCTTGGGGGCAGTTTCTCCCTCTGCTCTGCTGACACTGAGCAGCCTCCCCACAGATCCCCAAGGGCAAAGTGCCTTTAAGGGGTATTTACTGTGAACAGCTGCAGGCCACGGAGCAGCCGTCGCTGGCAGCACGGGACAGGGCTGTGGGACACGGCGGGAAGGAAACATTCCCAAAAGCGGGAGCAGAGAGGGCTGCACTCGCCTGCCTTTCTGTGCACAGGGGACAGCTGATGCTGCAGGCTCCATCCGGCCCTTCCTGACGCTCTGCTCTGCTCCTTGCTGCTGCTCTGCTGATCCCTGTCACCAGGGGAGGTGGCACTGCTCATTGGAAACAAGTCTTTACATCTGGGGATAACGAGACATATACAACCTTCTGCCTAATGAATGCCCCTGGCTTCTTAATTAATCCACATTTCACAAGCAGAATTAATTCGTTGCTGCAAGTCTTGGGAATCCAGGGGGAAAAAATAAACAACAGCAGAATTTAATGCATTTTAGAGAAAAAGAGTGATCACGAAAGTGCCAAATGGGCTGGATTTCACAAAGCTCAGAGTTTGCCTCTCTTGTGGCATTTCCCTACGCCATGTACCTGCCTGCCTGAAGGCCAGGCTGCCTCTGACTCTGTTTGCGTCCCCTCCTAGCACTCCTGGGAGCACTAGAACATATTTTCTTAGAGAGCATCTGCAGAGACATCAGTAATTCCTGTTTTTTAATCATTGCCATAAAGAGTGCTTTCCCACTGCTTAGTTACAGCAGCAAAGAACTGGAAAAAAAAAAGCTTTGGAAGCAGCTCCCAAGGAGAGCCAACACAAGACACGGATTGTTCCAATACGGAGCTCTTCTGCTCTGCCTTCTCCTGCACAACGGCCTGAAACAACCGCATATTGCACTAATTGCAAGCTAGCAATTAAGGATGATTTGCATGTGCCTTGAAAGTAGAAAATGCACTCAGATGCCTGGATATTCTGCAAGCCCATCACAGGGCTGGTGCTAAACCCACGTGTGCCCTTTCCCTCTTCTCAAGAGTGGAACGGAGCCGACTTCTGCACAAACAACCAGCTACATTCATGCTCTTTACTGGACTTCCAGCTGTGCTTTCATTTCATACCTGATCTTGTGAGTTCCTTCCCAATTTCTGCTGCAGTAAAATTGCCCAGAGAAACCTGAGCCCCGTTCCTTGCTTTCAGGTGCCTGCACAAATGTTCTGCCTTCCCTCTGTCTCTGAGCTTGCAAGCGTTTGTGCAACATCCAAGTGTTCGTGCAGAATGTAATCCCCAGCGTCCCATTTCAACAAACAGCAATCAATCTAATACACCACAGCCCAATTACTCCCATGGTTTCTGTAACAGGTGCTGTCAAATAAATCCACGGAATAAATCAGCCCCATTGTAACCATTGGGAAGGCTTTTATAACTGCATTTGCTGAGTGGGAGGGCGTTTCTTCTGAGCTTTCTTACTGACAGGCAGATAAAAAACATATTAATCAAGAGAGATGTGCAATAAATGCCTTGGAGGTGAATTCCCGTTTATACTGAGGTCTCCTGAGGGGACCCTCGTGGTACCACCGCAGCCCCGAGATGGTTTTCCCCACGGATGGGCTGTGCTCCCCAGCCCAGCTCCTCGGCATCACCACTGCTTTGCTCTCCTGCTCCTTCCCATTGCCACCGTGGACGGGATTCCATTCCCATTCTCCACATCCACCCGGGACCCCACGGTCCCTCCAGGAGCCGCGTTCCTCCCAGCAGAGCCCAGCCCCCTCCCCACCTGCCTTCCCGTATTCGCCCTTTCGTGTCTCTCCCAACATAGGCTGCATTTCTCCAGCTCCTCTGTTTTTAACGTGCCAAAAACACTTAACCTGGGAGACAGATACAGGGAACGGCAGAGCAATTGGCTCCAGTAAATTACTCCTGTTGCAACAGGCACTCTCGATGGTTTTAACAAAGATCTACTGCTTTTGAGCAACGCTACCGATAAGCAACTGAGTCCTCCTGTCACTTCAAGAACTTTTTCTCAGAATAAGATTCAGCGTTCCCAGTCCAAAACATGCCACATAAACTAAAGATGATCCAAATTTTCTTATGAAATTTAGGAAAGGTCCGAACCAGGCTCTTCTGGGAAGTCAACCCCTTGGGAGGCATTTAAATAATCCTTCCCTTGAGCCATGGTGCTCCGTCTCTCAAACACACATAGGTAGGAGCCTGCTGCAAGGTGGACATGAACTGCCTCATGTTTACGGCGCCCCTTTCCACCCCAAAACCTCTCTTGCTGCTCCTGGTGCTGTGGTGGCACTTTAGAGCCAGAGCAGGAGGATGTCCCATGGCTGTTTGGCTTTTAATGGATGTGGTCTGAATTAGTGTCCAGGATATTCTGTTGTAATGGTTTTCTTTCAAGCAGAGAGTCGCCGGGACAGGCCTAGTGGGGAATGTCACCCTGGGGCCATCACTGGTTGACGGGTCTGGCCATTCTAATGCCCTCAGTAGAGGCACTGCCTGCAAGCGACTAATGACATCTCCACAACAGTGAGAAAACGAGTGCAGGAGCACGTGGAAATGCTAATCAAGGAAACTTAGTAGGACCCAAGAACAACCAGAATGTTCGACCATGTTTAACAGCCTCCATCCTACACTTCCCTCTCGCATGCCCATGTTTTGACATCTCATGAAGCCCCTGTTTTATCTGTCCAGCATTAAGCATTTCCTAGCGAGAGATGTGCACAGCTCAGTTGTTATGAATGAAATGAGCTGGGAATGGTTGGATAATTATAGGCTCACCACGCTAGTGCTTCAGAAATTCTGAAAGCATTTAAAGAAGAGCCTTTGGCTCCAGAGCAAAATGAACAGGTTGATCCCTACCAGCTCGTGCAGACATTTGGGAGAAGCCTAGGCAGGAAAACGGCCACGGAAGCAGCCTGGGCTGTGGGCCAAGCACCTTCCATGCAGGTCGCAGAGGGAGAAAGAGGCATTAAATCATGATGATATAGAAAGTGCTGCAAAGCACAGATGGAAAACAAACCAAACCAGAGTATACGAAGTGTCACTTACTACAGATGAGAGGTCCATGTTTACCATCCTCCTGTCATCCAAGTCAACGGGCTGGAGGCCGGCGACGTTGAGCTGCGCTGAGGAGGTTCTGTACACGAAGCCCAGCAGCCAGTCCCCCCTGGGAGCAGAGCAGAACAAGATGGGAAGCAATCCTGTTGCCAAAGCCATGGAGCACAAGACTACCGAGGCCGTGAGGGGAATGAAAGGGCATGGCCCCATGGCAGCGTCCAGACAAGTGAGGACCTAGTACCAATTCAGTTCTAAGTCTCCTCAGAGCACTTCTGATTTAGGGGTGCCCTTTAAATGGAAGGTTTCAATGACAAAATCAACCGGATCAGCTAAATTCAGACCTAAATACAGCTACTACCAAAGTGACAGAATGAGGCCAAAGTCTGTGTGAACCTGACAGCAGTGAAATCCGCCTCAGGTGGGAATGTTTGCACGATCTCTCGTGCCTAAGAGTCTCACAGGAATTCTGCATTCCTCTCAGCTCCCTCCTGCAGCTGCGCCTGTGCAAAGGAACCACCCTCCACTCGAGCAGCTTCGAGGACGGTGCTGAACCAGCCCAGCAAAGGATTTTTTTCCTCACCTGCTTCTTCCTATGTGTGAGCGCCAATCTACAATTTCTACATCGTTGTGCGTTCAGCTTTTGAGACGGGGGCTTGCCAAAAGCAGAGGGACTAACCAAATTAGGGGACACACAGAGGTGCAAATAGGCATTTTATTTCAGCAGCACATCCAGGCCCTGAAACTACAACATGATCGTTTATTTTTTGTTATAGGGCATGGATATACTGAGCTTTTTGCAGAGAAACTTTTGCATAGCCAAGGGAGGAACAATGTTTGCATGGCAATTGCAGTTATGGGCAACAACTGTGCTCACTTATGACTTCTTGGAGGAAAAGAGAAGCTCTCCTGGGTCCCCACTCACTAATCTACAGGAGGCAGCAATTGCTTTTTGCTTATGCTGCAGAAAGAGCTACAGCCACTTGTGTGCACATGCAGCATCCACAAAACCTCCCGGGACCCACAACAGACAAAAGCAACATTTTTCAGCTTAGCCAACAGATGGGCTTAATAACTGATTCTTTTAATCTTGAGTGCTTTCAATTCTTTTAGTTATTCTTTGTAAATTAATATACTGCACAAGCTGCACAGTGATACAATACTTTCCCATGTAGGAATATGAGTACCAGCAGCATTTTGAGCTGCCCTTGAGCTGAGGGCTCGTGGCTTTGAGCTGTTATTTGCAGGTTCATGCTCTCTCCTCATCTTGCTTGGCTATTTCTCAGTTCATTTTCCAATGCCCTCAGTCTCCCTCAGTGCATCCCTTCTGTTCAGTTGCTCTCTCCTAATGGTGCTGGTAAGCAATGTCCCTGTCACATTTATCTTCCAACACACGAGCATTAGATTTTATTTTGTCCCTTGAATTCTTAATAGCTTTTAGAAGTTGTTCCACTGCTTCTGGCCTCCGAGTCCCCTCTTCCCATGCACCCCAGCTCTGCATGGCAGCTGTCTGCACAGTTTACAAGGGCTCACTCCTGCTTTCTGTTCCTCCACATCCCTAGGAAGCTCAGTGCAGCTACTCCAGCTGCACCTCCTTTGCAAGTAAAAGAACTTGTTCATGCAAATTATCTTGACCAGAAGTTGAGGCTAGATATAAAAGCTCTGCCATTTGCTCAAACTCCTTCACTTTTCCACTTCTCACATCTTGCTCTCCATCAGCACGTTCTAATGAACTGCATCTCAAAGTTCCACAGGTCTGAATTCATTTCTTTAACTGTCAGTGAACTTAATGGCTGCATTTATAGTCCTTCACATCACAGGTCTGAATTCATGTTCTTTATTTTTAACTGTCAGTGAAGTTAATGGCTGCATTTATAGTCCTTCACATAAAGCTGAAATTTAAGGAGACCTTAAAATATGTGAAATTATGCACACAGACACACTGACCAAGCTTTAAATTGCCGGGGTGCTTTAAGGCTGCCTCTGTATGAATAGGAACCAGGACTTACATACTGAGAGCCTCAGGCTTCCCATTTACTCTGCACTGCAAACAATCAAGCTGGCAACAAAGCAGCCTTGAACTGTCTCCTGAAGACTGTCATCTCCAATTAATGTGAGGGAGAGACCTCCAGAGGGAAGAGGCTCTGACACTTGTGCTGCTCCCAACTCAACATAATCACCAGCTCAACAAACATTCCCTCACGGAAGATTTACAAGGAAAAAGTGCACAGACTTGTTTCAAAGTGACCCCGGGATAATGCAGCAGGGAGCATGTACAGACCTGCAGTAGCCATTTATGATCCTGCCCGACACCACTTTTGTGATGGTTTTCCAGCACTTGGCTTCTCCCTCCACAGGAGCTCCCAGTAAGACCGCATCTTCAATGATCCCTTGCGAATCTGTTCAGAGGAAAGCAGAATAGCTCAGAGGTGGAAGACACAGCACTAAAACACCGTGACGTGGAGGAGGGCTGTGGTCAGATGTGCACTACAGAAAAAATCATCATTTCCGTGGTTTAAACTTTAAAGGCAGAATTCGAGAAAAGGAGGCTACCAAGAGGCAGCCCCAGGGTGGGTGCTCAGTGCTGAAGCACCTGTGGACACGGCGCTCAGGAGGAGCCCAGGGCTGGGCACGTCCCCCGGCCTGCGCGGGCCCGTCCTGCCAACGCCGCCCGTCTCCCCGTGCGGAGCTGGGGCTGCCGTGTGCGGTTCAGACCACAACACGGGGACCCTCCTGGGGAAGGGGCTGCACGTCGCATCCGCTTAGGAATGGAGAGGTGCTGCCTGGCCAGACTTCTTGAATTCCCATCATTCGGTTTCCTTTCCCTAACAGCAGCAAAAGCCCCGCGTTGGGGCATCTCCGTGCGCAGCGCAAAGCCTGGCTCCTGCCAGCGCTCCGGAACGCTCTCGTGGCATTAATTGCAAAGCAAATTTCACACCAATCAAGGGTACAGCAAAGGGCAATCCAATTTTGTTACTGTAATCTGGGAGCAATAAAGTTTGCACAATCTTGTGCAAAGGAAAAAAATAAACCCTGGGCCTTGAAAACAGGGAGCTCCCTCCAATCAATGTACTAAATTGCCTGGCTGCAGCATGAGCTAACTGAATAAACAACCAGGAATTCACCAGGATTCCCAGCATTTGGGCAACGTATTGGAAGCTTTCATCTCTCCAGTGCTTTGCACAGCTTAGGTCTTGCTCAGGACAAAAATGTTCAACCTTGGCTGTAAACTACTCACTTTTTATTTGAATACTGAAGGAGCAGGGAGGAAACCTGAGAACAGACTGGTGACCTGTGTAGTTGCTGGCTCTCCACACAACTATTCCAGTTTACAAAGCTTTTATGCCAATGAAAAATAATAAAGCCCATATAAGCAGCCATAGGAATTAACACTTTTCATTAGTTATGCTTATTTACTTAAGAGCAAGGGAATCTTAATGAACAAATGAGAGCAATGATCTTCCTACGTAGTAACTTGTCTCCAACAGGGTTATTACTGCCTGTTCTTATATATTGTAATTTTCTGGAAACCTACTAAGCTCTGGCTTCAAAAGTCGTTTGTGCTGAAGCATCCCAAGGGCTATTTAATTGTTTCGCAGAACAGTATTTACTTTTAATGGGCTTTAAACTTCTGCCATGGTGTTTTTGCTGGCTAATCCGTGATTGTTTGTCCACAGAAATGCCGCAGCCACCTGGATCCGCGAGGCCTGCACGACGGGCCGAGCCCAAACCCGGATCGGACTCCGATGTGCTGGGTCGCAGCTCCGCTCGCTGCGGCTGGCGCTGGAATGTGCCCGTGAGGGCGGCCTTGGCAGCGTGCACGGAACAGGCTGCTTTTCATCTCGGCGACAGCTCGGCTCTCCTAATTCAATTAGGGAACTGAAAAATCAGTGTACAGTGGGGAGCTGTTATGATACATCATTATGATGCTTAGATTTCTTTAGAATAGCAGCCAACCTTAAAGACCCTTAATGATTTCCTTTCATGTGTTACTTAGCTATGGTCCCACGTTATTGCAGTGAGAGACTGCAGGTCACTAAATAAAAGCCTGAAAACATCTTAGCCTCAGGTTACATTCTCGAGGCACAAAAAAAACAAATCTAGGGCCAGATTGGGATCTGGCTTCAGCATAACTCCACTAGGATCATTCTGGATTTGATTAAATTTATCCTGAGAACAGAATTTCTGTATTTCACTGAGGGCTTCCATCTTAAACAAGAAGCAAAACTGTCAAGAGAGAAAACGCTGACCCGCGTCCTCACCTGACTCCATTCCCACCTTCTCAGACTTGAGAGCAAACAGTTACCTTTATAAAAAGCTCCTTATTTATTGATACGTTCTGTGAGGGTAAATGGTTAATGAGTTCAGTTGGCTGCGTAGGGGGGAAGGCAGGCTGCAAGCACACACTACTGACTCAGCTCCAAGATGCGATTTACATCAACTAATCATAATGATTTTATTCTTTTTCTAAATTAAAAATAGAATCTATTAATAAACAGAACCACAACGGGTAATAAATTGACAGATGGTTTTATACATGACATTGGGGAAAAATTACCATGAAAATAGCAGATGACAGTGGCATTTCAATGACTTAAATGGAAGGGAGGACTCACGGCACCAGATACAATAGCTACAGAGAGCTTCCAATAAAGGCAACGAGTGCTCTGCCCAGCACGGGGTGGCACGAGGGCCGATCAGCAGCCGAATGGCAGGAACCAAACGGCGCTGGCGGCCACAGCGCAGCGGCTGGAGCGAAGACAGGGGACTTGCTTCAGCCAGGGAACTGGTGGAAGCGACCAAATAATGTTTTCAAAACCTTTATGGGTTCCTGTCCTAAGCTGTACTTCAGAAACCAAACCCTGGTGGCCACAAACCCACCAGCAGCACCTATAAAACCGAACAGTCATAAGCAGGAACTCATCAGGCCAGTATGTGGGCTCGTTACAATAGCAACCACTTATTAGAAGGCTACTTACTCTGAGTTTTATGCCTGGAAGCCAAAACACAGCGTTTCAGTGGAGGTGGCCCAGTAGAAGTGGCCTGTGACATTTGTGTGCTGCGTGTTCACTGTGATGTCCCAACAACCCACTGAGACCTGCGGGACAAGCTAAGCCACAACCCCCAGAGACCGTCCACGCAGAGCAAGGGGGAGAAGCAAGAGCAACACAAGAAAGCCCGTACGCTATCTCCTTCTCTGTGTCTCTCCTAAAAGACCCAAGCTCTGTTCCAGCATAACTTTTTTGGAATAAAAGCAGTAAAGAAAATAAAAGAGAAAAGGGAGTTGAACATTACCTTTTTCTCGAGCCATCTCCTGCAGGCAGAAGTAAATGACTCTTGCACCCAGACTGAAGCCAATCAGTGTGACAGGTCGCTTGCCCTAAGAAAGAAGGAAAGGCAGGAAGGGTCATCATGGATTCTTGGAGACTTGGAAAAGGAGCCTGGCCACAGGATCTCCAAAACCCTGATCTGTGAAGCACTTACGCTCATAGAGGCCTGCACTGAGCATTCAGAATATCCAAGTATTTTGTATTTTTTGACAGCCAGGAAATTAATCTGAAATATTCAGTAACTGCAAGTTACCACAAAAAAAAAAGGTGTTTCAAGCAGAAACAAAACCAACACTGTCACTCTTTTGCAATTTCCAAGTGACAAACTAATTCAAGGAGCAAAACTGGCAGAAAAAAAACCTGCAGTACAAAAACACCAACCACGTACAGACTGAAGACTGAGCGGCAGCAGTGCTGTGTGGCTGTTAGAGGATGTGAGGTGACGTTTTATTCTGACTAGCCCAGTAAGGCTTTTTTTTTTAATGAGATGAAGGGAGAGCCTAATATCAAGGGAAAAAGTTCTTTTCATGAACCGGGGAGCGGGTGTCCGATGGGCCCCCTAGACACCACGCTAACTCATTTTACACTGCAGCACACTGGGATGTGTGTTTGCACAGCAACTAACACCTGAAAGGCGGTAACGAATGTCCCAAAGCAAAACGAAGGGCTTCTTCGAAATAAAGTTTATTGCCTTTCCTGGGACGGGGTTTTTATCACAAATGAAGTTTTGTTCCTGCTCTGCTGTTTCACACTGTTATTTATGACGCTCAGCTCTGGTTTTCATAGGGTTGCTCTGTAACAGATGCCGAAGCAGCCTGATCCACGGCCTCCGTGCCAGGAGAACCCCGGGAACGGCGGCAGGCGCTTGTGGAGCAGAGGTGACTCCTGGGCGCTTTCTTTCTCGTGACTATTTTCAACGCACTCTGTCCTCCTTTTCTCCTACCCCTCCCTTCTGTTCTCCAGTCTCCACTAGGTGAGTTCGTCCATCTGCCTTGTGAAACGGTGAAGCCAATCTTCATTTATGACCTGGCTATCTCCTTCTTCACAAAGAAGAGTTTGAGGCGGGGTAAAATGGAACAAATCTTGCCTGGAATTATCAGATTAACTTGCAATCTCCTATCTTTTCTCTATGCAGTAGATAACTACTGTTGACATTCATGCAGTGATTTTCCATTTTCAGTTTGTTCTTCCTGGTCTTCTCCCTGGACACATATGTCTTGCTAGCTAACTCGTGCGACTATGAAGCTTCACCCGCACCGACCCATATCGCTCCCTTCCAGATATTTATTATTCCTGTGGCGATTCCAGGCGGGTACCTGCTGGCGGCTGAGCAGGAGGTGTGCCAGGTGCTTGCCAACCTCGGCGGAGCGGTGCAGACACACTCCCCACGGGTTGTCAATGACACTGGCAGCCGTCAGCAGGGACGCTGGCCAAGTCAAGGCTGTCACAATCCCTGCGAGGCAAACACAGAGTGACACAGTCACACACCAGGCCTGCTCTTAGGAAATGGCAAAAGCAAGACAGTTCATTGAAGTTAAAACTCAACACAGGATTTCTGTTATTTTCAGTTCTTCTTTCCCAAGAGCTGATCTGAGAAATGTTTTGCTAGACTGAAGATGAGAAGGAATCTGATGATGTGACATAGAGGCAAACAGACACTGTGCATCAATGTAGGCTGCATGTTAAAGGGTTTGTGTAAAGCACTGAAGCCCAATATAACAATACAGAGAAATCGAGACACATGCTCTGAACAAAGGTGTTTCCAATGGGATTTTAAAAGTATGAGTCAATGACAGGGAAAAAGCAATCCAGGAAAGCAACTCTGAATTACAGGCGTGGTGAGGAAGATTGTTATGGGTGCCAGTGCTGCTCAGGGCAACGGTTTCTCAGAAATCTTCCCTGTTTTGGAAAACGCCTTTAAACAAACAATAACAAGAAGGTACATGAGGCAGATCTGATCGGATATAGGTGTTGACCTGACAAGACAGTGAATTTCAGGGCTTCTTGAGCCATCAGGTTGACAAACCCATTCAGCAGGGACTCGAAGGCGTTGCCCAGCTCCATCAGGTACTTGGACTCCCAGGCCAGGCAGTACTGCTCGCGTGACTGCAACATGCTGCTCCACGGCGCCGTGAAGCTCCCTAGGAAACAAGGCAAACAGGGACACATCGTCACCAAAAATACAGCAGCAGCCAAGTCCTGGCAAGGAGACACCACCAAAGAGACAGCAAAGACCCTGTGGGACACCTGAATGCACTGTCAGACTTAAGAATTATATTTAAAAAGACTCTTAAATTTAGACTATGGATTTCCATTCTTTTACATTCAATTTTGGCTTTGTTTCCACTGCTTTCACTGCCCTGGCAAAGAGGGCCCATTCATGACCCATTCAGCTGCTTTGAGACTGTGAAAACAGAAGTCAATTAATACTAATTATGTCAAGCACTGAGGAAATCCCTGCTATCATCAGGCCATGTTCTGCAGCTCTTCTCATACAGACCCCAAAGAACTGAAGTGCTGAATGGCTGCACATGATGACTTCAGTGGCACCACAGACATGGAAAATATGTAAGATCTGGTCAAAATCTACCAGCGAGCACCTTCCTAGCTGCAGCCAGGTAGGCAAGGATTGCATTAATGGCTCTGTCTGAAAGGAAGGAAGAAGAGCATGTGCAGGTCCAGAATGGGCATTAATTTCATGTTGCCATCTATCTTCTTTGGCTTAGTAATTTTTCTCTCCCCAAATGCTAATCAAAAGCAGTGCCTGGATGTTTGCAAGAGAATGCATCATTTACACCGTGCAAGCTTCTTTCTTTGCTGGACAATTTTTAAGCTACCTCCTATCTGCAGTGTGAAGCTTGTACTAAGTGCTCAGGAGGGCCCTGGCGATGCTATTATGGCAGGTAAAACTCTGAAGGGCAGAGCAGAATTTGCATCTCAATTAAACAAACTGCTCCCACACTGTCCCCTCCTCAAACACAGCAGGGGAGGCTGAGGCAGCCTCTGGCCAAAGCAGGCTCCAATGCCAAAGCTCACCGCAGCATCTCGCCAGGTTTGTACATGTGCAGAATAGCAGCTCAGACATCAAAAGGCAGCAAATTCCCCCCAAATCCCCTCTGCGCTCCCTCAGTGTTAAGGACTCATGAAGGAAGAGTGCGGACAGCCGCAGCTGGAAGCAGGAAAGCGGACAACAGTTTCAGTTTTACAGCAGATTGCTAGTTATGGAAGAAGAATGTGTGTCATTTGTAACTCCCTTTTAAGGGCAAAGAGACAGGGATGGAGTAAAAAGGTTCCTGGAGGGACAGGCTTGTCTTGGTTACCGCCCCAGGGAACCCTCCAACCCCAAGGATTCAGACCCCTGCCAAGAGGACCCCAAAGTGCAGAGCACTGCAGAGTGAAACCACCCTGCTCTGACAGCTAAGAGCAGCTTAGCCAGCAGCAGGACAGAACTAGATCCTTCTGCATTACAGATATCAAATGCTAATTATGATGCCTCTGCATAACTTGTCAGCTGCTCTGCCAGGTTGCTGAACACATCAGCAGACGGCTGACACATTTCAGGTGACAAGCTATCCTGGAAACGAAAACGCTGCACTCTGCAAGGTTGCTGCTGTTAGCTCACTTCCCGAGTGCTGTGCTTAACAGCGTTTCCTTACACAACTTTCTTGGCATAACATGTCATTAGCTGGCAGACACCCTGGAAGCCAGGGCTTTCTGTTAATTCTGGAGGATAGGTGAGACTCTCTGTATTAGTGCTGGAAATCATCCAGCCCAACTAGACCTTCTCTCACAAAACCAGAGAGGATTTATTAATAGAAACAATCCTGTTTGTTTAGCACAGTTGTCACTACTACCAATTTGCTGTCATCTCTCCTTCCTCTGTTCTGGCTGGAATTGCAGACTGGGTTACAAAGTGTCATAAGCAGAATTCAACTGCTCTGGCCATGTCAATGTAGGAAGGACATCATGCTACTAGAGAGGAAACACTGCCTGGAGCTGGGTTGAACCTCCCATGTTGACCACAGCTTTCTTCCAGAACTGGTTCCGTGGTCTCCATCCAGTTCCGAGGGACTATTTCTGCTCAGTGCAGGGGAAGGGACCACAGCTGGAGGAAGCCCCAGTTCAGCTGGTTCTCAGTTCTGCTCCTAGAAAGGTCCAATCTGGGACCTAGGTCCACCTAGGCTTTAGTCTAGGTGGGTAAGGTGTATTGTTTCCCATCCATTACCAAATACTAGTACCAAGTACAGTTGACTTCCTGGTACAACCCAAATTCAGCTACTGTAAGGTTGTTAATGAATGCATCTCCTCAAGAAGGCCTGGGATGATGCTGCTGAAGCAGCTCCATGCGGTGCCCCACCGTGATATTTATGCCTTCCACTCACTCAACAACTGTGACGTGATCAGATGCTTATATAAAAGCACTTATCATCACTACTGTCATTTTCTCCATCGCAGACATTGCTCTCCAGACACCGCTCACGGTTTCCCCGCGTTGCTCTTACCGTATTTGCCAGTGCAGAGCCATCCAGTAATTGCTATGGTGATGTGAAGCTGCTTCCCTTCAGTCAGCGGGAGAAACTCAAACTCCTCGATGGCTCCCACACGTTTCTTCATCTTGTATCCTACACACAGCAGCGCAGAAACACGAGTTGCAGAAACTGCCCAGCAACAGGGAGACTCTGCAGTTGATATGAAAGCAAACATTACCCCACGCCTCTGTAGCTGCAAGATGTGCAGTCGCTCTCTTACCAGTTAGGCCCGCTCCAGCCGCTCCGAAAAGGGATGCCATGACAGCAATTCCAGCAGTTGAACCTAAGGCAGCTGCCCCAGCACTTCCAATGATCGTAGCAGCCCCAGCAGCAACCAGAGGGGCAGCAAGACCCCCTGTCAAGCCTGAAAAATGCAACAGGTGAGATCTCCAATCTATGATCATTCACAAAAACCAGGCAGTTTTTCCTCCGTGCTGGGTGAAGTCCTGCTACTGCCACTAAGACCAAATGATGCTCTTGTTTTACCTCGCCAGCAAAGGGACTTTCTGAGACCCTTCCCAGGACTTGAAACCCTACACAGATTCTTGGACTGACTTAAAAATGAAGAATAATTTAAAAGCCCAGGAAAGAACTTGCAGCAAACTAGGGTGAGCTGTGCCCTCTTTGCTTGGAATCACCAATTCTGGCTAGTTGCACCATATTCTGAATTTGGAATCAAAGACAACAGTCTGACCCTCTTCTAGCACAAGAGGAAAGGATGAAAAAACACTTTGTAAGGGTCTCAGCTTGGTATTTGCCCCTGCTGAGAACTTGGGTCTTGTGATTTTAATTCAAGGAACGTACAAAACAGTACAGGATTTACACTAGAATAACTTTTCCAGCTAATCCTGTTAGTTTTATTTTGGTGTGACTAAGAATGCTTTTCTTAGATTTGGTTTGTGTAGTTTTTTTTTCTTTTTTTTTTTTGGTATCTGAAGCAACATAATATTACTTTAAAATGTGGCCAAGCCGATGAGCAGGTACCGCTTCAGCCTCCTCCTCCTCTCCTTCTTTGTTCGTGCTACTTCTGCAGTTCTGCGGGGGGATAAGAAGAACAAAAGCCGATGGAAAAGCTTCACGGGTAAGAATGCAGCATCAGGATCTGCTTATATTCTCCTCAGTGTAATTTCTCTACCTGGCACAGTAAAAATTACCATGCAGGTGCGGACTGTGACACCACATTCAGATTTATGGGCATGGAAATAAAACCACAGATTTAAAGTGAAACAACTTAATTGGTTACAAATTCAACAGATGTTACTTACTTGGAAAACCCTTCCTAATAGGGCTGAAGCTTGTAAAAGAAAAAAAAAAGAGTGAAACAAAAAATCAAAATCATTTTAACAGCCATATACTGCCTATGTGCATATGCTTTAAATAAAATGTCTCGCTGTTTTTAGAAGGATAAGAAAAAAAACTGACAAATACCATTCCTCCTCGCAGACACAGGTATAGATAGCTCAGGTATAGATCAGCATCCAGTGCTGCAGAAAGGATATTTGGTCACATTATGCAGAAATTGTTGTAACAAATGTGTTAACCTCGGGCATCATTCCAGACTGCAGCGGTTTCCCCTTTTTCTTCTCCAATTCTGCATTTGGGATTAAAGGTATAGGCTGCTCTTGCTACCTGCTCAGGCAGTAGCAGTTTGTCACTATGTGACGGTATAGGGGGAATTTTTTGACATTCCTTTAAAAGAAAATGGAAAAACGAATGCAAACAGGACTTAGAGCAGCATTCATGGCATCTTCAGGCAGGAAAAAAACCTGCCAGGACAGTCAATTCTCACATTTTAAGACACAGTCTGTAGATGGGTATTCTGGATGCAAGCAACCTAGGCTAGATAACAGCTGCATCATGCCAACCTTAAGTCATCACATGTAGACTTTGTGCCACAGCAGCTTTCCTGCATGAAGGACTCCCTACAAACGTAAAGGAATGCTGGTGCACCGGCAACAGGTTATTTTCCATGGATGCCAATCTGGGGAGGTTTCCAGTTCCCATTGGTGTTTTAATGCCCAGCCACTAATATTAAAGCTAGCTGCTTAAGAAAGAAGGATGCACCTTGCACTCAGTGCTACAAAATTTGGGATAAAGCTCAGTTTGCAGCCACCACTGGGTTGCAGGGCTGGAAAAGCAGGCACTTTCCATTTCACCTCTTGCCTAGCGTGGAAAGGGAAATGACCTTGACAAACTACCTGGAAAGAACAATGTTACCTCACCCGGTCGTGCAAAATGAGCTGGGATTTCACAAAAGAGCCTTAGGAGCTGGTGTAATCCCTCAGGGGAACCTGGCCTGCGAGGCAAGGAGCAAAAACTGTGGCTTGAAGATGAGCAAATCCTTCCTCCCTGTGAGCAACGCAGCTCTCCAGTCGCCTTGGAATTGTTCTGCTAAAGACTGAAGGTCATAGCCCATTAGACTGACAGCCAGTTGGGTTTAATAAAAATCAGAATTTGGTCCTGAATGCCCTGAAAATTGCCTTAGAAGACATTAACCCCTCCTCCCAACCCTCTGCTTTTGGGAACAAGACCTGAAGCTGAAGTAGCTAATTGAAACTACAAGGGAGTTAAGTGGAAACAGAGAAAGTTGCTGGAAACAAAAGAGGATGGGAGTAATTTGTGCTAACAAGGAAAGAGAAGGACTCAAACTGCATTTACGGCATTTAAACTCAGCCGATTTCTAATTATCATGATAGTTATTAAACACAGTCATTAATTCATTTGCAAGTGTTCATTTAAGCTATGATTTAATAAGCTTATCAGAAACAGGTGAACTAACCTAGAAGGAACAAATGACAGTTATTAGTAGGCAGCACTTCTGGCTTCTCACCACTGTCTTTGGTTTAGCTCTTCCAGGAAGTGTTTTGTACTTCAGAGGAAAGTGTGAGCAACAGAGGATACTGGAATAAGCAGTTTACAGAGGAAGTTGCCTTCTAGCCCGCTTACACAGTGGTTCATCTAGGCCTTGAAATAGGAGAATTTATCTTGCTTCCAAACTTGGATATTTTCCCTCTTCATTCTAACCTAATTGTGGATTTTCATTATCCGTATAATTGCCTGATCCTTCCTGGAGCCCCCTACGCGCACTGTAATGTTGATAAAGACAATTTGCGACGAGTCCCTGCCAATACCCGGCTTTGTGCCGCGCGGCGGGAGGAGGACGGAGCCCAGCGGGTGAAATCCCCGCGCTCGGACAACGCGGAGGCTCCGGCTCCGTGCAAGCTGGCGCAAAACGCTGCCTTTTCCCTCCCTTTGCCCCTTCTGCAACAGCAAATGTGGCTGTCTGCAGAGGGCAGCGGTGGAGCCTCCAGGGGAACTCAGCAATTTCGGCAAAACCCTGTTCGCTTCCTGCGATTCCGTGGACAAGCTGTTGTTGGGCTGCACGCAGGCTCCAAGACAAATGCCTGGCTTTGGGAAATATCGCTCCCGATGTTTCTTCCAGTTCTGTAGCTAGATTTTTAATACCTAAGTTGGGACTCCAGAAGGGATCCAACCTCTCCCCCAGGATGTACAAACTACGAGGCATCCTAATGCGTGGCAGCAGATGCCAAGGGTCAGCCTCTGTGTTTTTTGTCCCCCAAGAACCTTGGTACCTCTCTCAAAACAATTCAGCCAGCTCTTCTTGGCGGATGCTTCTTGCTCTAGGCTGGGCTAACATTTCCCTGCTCCCCTGCTGTCTCTGCTTGCTCCCGTAGGAGCTGAACACACACAGCACACGGCTGTTCCTGCTATTGGCAGGTCTCCGTGGAGCAGG